TTGTGACGTAAGAATTTAATCAAATAAGTGTAAGCAACCGTAACACATAATTGCCCCTAATCTGAAAATGGCGTCGACAAGCTCGAATTTATGTATTGGTTGTCGCATTTCTGCTTTGAAGGAAACGAATTATTGTGAATAAATTTTTGAGCATTCTGTAGCCTCAGCTACAACAACAACAACATGTATGTATCTCCCCCCTTCATTTTCCCTAACCACCATAAAAGAGTGAAACATAGGGGCCGAGATAGAATTAGAGGAGAGGCACTGTGAAATAAACTTTCGTTTTGTATGAAACACGGTTCACACCATGACATAATAAAAAGAACCAACGGAAATAGAGTTTTTTATTATTATTTTCTGTGATGAAGGCCGTGAGCGGAGGAAGAGGAAGAACGGGTATTTGTTCGCGCCAATGAGTTTGGGGGAGAACATAAAACTTTTCACAATGTGTCTTTGTGGACTTGCGGTTTCTCGATTCGTCCGTGTCATTTCAAGCACGGCGCTATATACCTAATGCTAGATTTATTTGGAGTGGTATCAGTTTCATTTCTTTTATTACACGTAGTTCAAATTCGTTATATATACACGGAGCAAATGTTCAGTGCTTTCAATTTTTTATTATGCAGTCCCGCACAACATCCGTTGTACTCCCGTACTTGAAAACATCTTACTTTATTTCGTAATACAGCAGTTCTCCTTTCTTCGTATTTTTCTACTGTTTTCTTCGCCTTATGCCTTATTCCATATCTTTATTCCTGGACGTTACGGAACACCATTACAGTGTTTTACAAAGGCTTTACCCAATTAAACCGGTAACTGGCCCCTGGTAAGCTAATGCACAGCATACATTACTGTAGTACTGTAGCTCCACGCGCTTGAAGGACCAGCATAAGAGACATTAACATGTACTGCGGGACTGCATAACATACACAATTCGAAGGCATTGAATATTCACCCTGCATGGTAAACACATTTACATACTAAAAGAACTCTCAAAAAAGTTCTGTAGTGCTCCATTTTTATTATGACGGGTTATCGTAGTGGTAGCACTCTTAGACTGTCACTGTGGAGGAACCCAGATCGAATCTCGTTAGGATTACCGGGTATCCTGCTGTTATTTCTTTCTTTGTTTTCCTATGTCTCTCCAACCAAACACTGAGATAATAATTACTCACCATTCACGGCCATATTTCCACCTCATTCGACATTGTACAAGTTCTGCAGTTAGAGGAACGTTCTTAATTGAGTGACGCGGGAATATCGTGTTAATTCGATTGACCATTAAAACAAAATTATAAACAAATATCTACAGTTAGCATATTTCAATTTAAATTTATTGAACAGATTTCTGTGTAATTATTTTGTATTGATTCCAGAAACTCGTTTATTTTATTAAGTAATTGTTCGTCGTACAAAACATTTTCATCGCGTAAAATATAGATCTGCAACTTTTATTTTATAGATATGTCGAATATTTTAAGAAATAAAACAAACGTACGTTATGGTCCTATGCAGCTTTGTATCTGTTATATCATTAGCTACGCAGGAACATATTTTTATCTGGAATAAATTAATATTAAAGTGTATAATGTATGAAAGAAAGGAAGACAATTTGTAAAATACGATTTTACACTCCTGTTACATAGGCCTATGTGATTTCTGTACGTCAGTGAGCGTGACATTAAAGGTTGTATCTCTGTAGCCTTGTGTGGGATGATATTAATTAAATTCAATAATAGACCGCGCTGTAGTAATCAACTACACAGCTGTGTTTTATCCGAACAAATCCGTTCAACCGCAAACAATAATTTAAATTTCAAATTAACTACAACTCCGCTCGAAGATGCTGTGATATCCAACGAATGTTGTTCTTACCACTTATTTGCATTTTATTTGAAGTTCTAAAACAAAAGAGTACCCTAACATGACTATAAAAACAATATTTGTACCTAAAAATGTGGAGGTAATAGATTATATCATTAGCAGTTTTACAGTTCGTACTGTTCGCTTAAAATTATTTGGTTGAGATGGGCGGAGCGTGCAGCACGAAGGGGGAAGCTGAGAGAAACATATAATATTGGCCATAAAGCCTTATATAAGAGGCCAGCCTGGAATCCTGTTAACAAATGGAAGAACATAAAAACAGTTGTTATTAGAGAAATAGGTTACGGGGAACTTAACTGACAATAATAACAAATAAGAAATAATAACTGGAATATACAAAAAAAGTTAAACGGATTATGTAGTGTGGATTGGTTTAAATTTGTCTTTCCTTTCCTTAGTTTCTTCAGGCGCGCTGTTGGATTAATACATTAACGAGGCCAGTAGCTCTTCTTCAACATATTTTTAAACTCACTCTTAATCTTATATGCCGTATAACTTACGCATTTGACAGACGTTCAATAAAACTCGGTTACGTAGACTATATGATATCTGTGTGAGATTGTTCTCTTATAAGCTTCGAACCTGCAGTTCTTGTATCAGGTTTGTTAACTACCTAACTACTTACCTAATTCTTTGTAGTGTAGATCGTCATGAGAAATTCCATGTCGTTCATCTGGTGAGGAATTTCCCCGTCTTTTATTGAAATGGAAGGTTTGTTACTGTGTTCACAAAGGCCCGCCACTGAACCGTGTATTTTGCCAGATTAATTCCGTCTAAACCCTCCTACACTATTTGTTTAAAGTCCACTATACTCTATTAGTATTCGTTGAACTACGCCCTTTCTGCTGAATGGTCTTTTGCATGGAGAGTTTCCTACAAACATTCTGTATTAATTTCTCGAAACTACATTTATATAGAATGGAAAATATGGAAGACCGCATATGGGAAGTGACATCTAGTGGCATGATGTTCAACCCCAATTTTATGGAAATACGTTTATTTGTCAAGAAAAATTGAAGGGGACAAATATTCGGTCATCGTTATAATAAAACCTCAGCTTTCCTTCTATAAGAAAGAAAGAAAGAAAGAAGACAGGCGTTGCTTTGAGGTGGGACGTCGTTTTAAGTTTATATGTAGAAAGACGGAGGACATACTTCCATATCAGGCGATCCACTTTGTCGTAAAAGTAAGAGACAGTGAAGAAGAATGTGTACTTCTTAAATAAAACGAAGATGGACGCTGTAGTTCTTTTCAAGTGAACTGTGAAGTCTCTAAGAACCGAGACTGCACAAAAGTTGGCTAACGGAACGAAACAGATAGGCTCCTATCTACTAGAAACAGATTCCATGCCGTGCTGATCCACCATAATATACATTTCGTGCGGCTTCTTAATTCTACGAAAAGCTGCACTTACTATCCGAGTGTGTAAAGTTAATACTGCTTGCATGACACAACACTGTTTCGAAATTGTGGAAGATCTTCTAACAATCTCCGACGTCTTCTCACGAACTATTTATTATGTATAGGAGATCTCTCTTTGTTCTACTGATCTACAATACAAATGGCAAGGAAATAAGGACAAGGACTTAAGAAATCTAAGACAAGTTCGTTTTTTCTAAAACAAATCTAATTTGCAAGTTGCAGTTTTTTTACTTCTTTTTTTCAATAAAATAATATTTCCATCTCGCGAATATCCACAGACAGCGTCATCTCTTGTAGCCTTATGTCCAATTAATACGTTTCCTGTCAAGAATCCCCAATTATATGGTATAGGTAGTATCATCTGTTTCGGATTAAACTAAAAATCTTATTTAGACGTAAAAATTTCTTCTCAATTTTAGCGAGCTTTAAGTTGTCCTGTTGTCACGTATTCATTGTGTATCCTAATATTTTAAATTTGTCAGTTTTTTGTAGTCTGGTTATTAATTACTGTTCTAATCTTATACAGTTTCGCCTGAGATACCACTGGATATTCTGAGTTTTAAATTGATATAACTTTCATATCTGCTTTAACAGAAGTAACGATTTCCGTATTTATCATCTGTATTCTTACAGTTCTGTATAAGCTACTAATTTTCCCAGTACCAGTTTTTGTGTCGTCTGTTGTGTCAAAGAGTCCTTTATACCTTTGTAGGCTACAAATATTTCTGGTTTGAAGGCTCTGTCGTTGCATTCTGTGGGATTTGGCCTGGCTTCCGTTCGGTCAGTCTAGGAGAGGGAGATTATCAAGAGTGTCAGGTCAGACAGTCAATAATGGCGTCTCTCAACGCCTGCACTGGTTCCATTGCGTGCAACTTCATCTGTGTAATATGAAAGTTTCGGAGAAGTAATCAAGTATTACACAGCCGAAGACAGTGACGTAATGAGGCATGTTTCTATTTAACGACGCTTTGTTATATACGTCGAGAGGAAAACGGGGAGTCGAAACATTTGTGTCTGAAGGAACGTGAAAGTACTATGTACATATCATAAGTAGGTTTTTCGATTTTTTTTGGAAAGACTGAGGAATAACATGACGAACAGGTTTTCCTGTAGTAATGTTGAACGTAACTCGCAGTAGTTAAACCTCTTTAGAGTTCAGAAATATAATTGTAGTGGTAAACCATTTGTCCATCTGCTTCAGTCGATTTGTTTCTGAAATCCTCTGAGAAAGATATATTTTCTTGAAGAATTAATTATATATAGACTAAGGTTGGCGATTATGATTGTGACAAAGATCATGACATATCGATAAATATTATTATGTTCCTTATCATTCTGTTTTGAAATTTCTCTTAACATTGTGTCAAAAGTTTGTAATAATATATAAAACTCTTTATCACAGAAGATTGCTGTCTTCTGGGTTGTTGCGTTGTGTTGTCTGGTACAAATTTATCGACGTTTTAGAGTAACTCATCTTCCTGATGTTGGAGGCAGCAACGACCTCTGAAACGTTGGTAAACGTCTACCAGACTACACGGCGCAACAGCCCAGAAGACAGCCATTTTCAGACTCACCATCGTGAAAACCTCAAGTCTTGCATCGTTACCACATGTCACTCGTTTTTATAGTGTATAGTTAACAAAATAAAATGGTGAAAAGTTCGATTCTGTTCGATTTGGCGTTTGTACTAATTATCTTTCCAGTCATTAAATTTATTTGGGCTTTGATTTTATATGCAATACATAAATTTCAAGACCGATAAAGTAGGAAAAAGCAGAAGAATTGCACCTTTTCTCACTTATATTCGGTGTCTTAAACAGATCCAGGGCTAATTAGTTTCAATTCATTGCACAAATGTCATGAAAGGATACAAACAAATAATAAAAATATTTTACATTCAAATGAAATCTATTTTAAATAGAAAATTATCACATATTTATATGCGTTATAATAGTTATTGTTAGTATTTACTATTACAGTTTTTCATATGACTATTAACTAATGTGATTACATATATACATGTGTGACTGCTCGATAAACAATGGAGCAATCGTGTCGCTTTGAGGAACGCGATAAAAAAACGAGGTGTAGCGGAGTTTGTACTTTTTTTGAATATGAGAATTCTTAAAGACGCTGCCACTGTTATCATTACCAACATATTCCTTGCGTAAAACCTGCATTAGATTCTTCATTCGCAAAGCATGTGTAACTATTTATAAAAATCTATACTTATCGGATTTGAATTATTCTAACCCCGATTGCGAATTTGATATTAAGGACAGTTTAATATGTAGTGAAATAAAAGAAAATGTCTACATTTCACGAATTTATCAGTACTTTAAAATCTGTTTTGTTGAAGCTTTGTACGTTCTGCATACTTATAATCAGGAAATTTTAACTAATAATGAATAAATGAAAAGGTATACACATTTTACTTATACTACGCACTGTTGGACCTCGGATATACCAATAATCCTGGAATGTTGAAGCTTAGTATATGTTGCAACACTTTTTTGAATGTTTGGAATTTGACATTTTTTTGCACTTTTAAATTACAATTATGAAGCATAAGAATAAGAATAAAATAAGAATTTAGACTAAATTTATAAAGCATAATAAGAAGAATAGAATTTAAACAATAACTTTTACGATAACAAATATTATAAAACGTGTCTTTCTAAATTAAGTATAATTAATTTTGATATTTACGTTATTTATAAATAACAAATTCGAAAAGTACTGTTTCTGCTTCAGTTAATAATCTTTCTCGCTTTTGATTTCTGACTAAGGCATATTCATGTTTTCAATGGACTGTCGTCATGTTGCTCATTTTGGAGGCTGTTTACGTTACGGTAATCAGTAAGGTCCAGATCCGTGAGGTTCAGCTGTGTCTTCATATCGGATCTGCGGCTTGTATCCGTCTTGATCCGCCTCGTATTCCACGATCTGTGTCCTGCCATCGGGCAGTAGGACATGGTATGAACCGCGGGCATTCTCGTCCTGCCGATTCTCTGCATGACCGAAAACGGTGCCATATTCCCTAGCTTCTACCTCGTAAGAGAACTCGTAATTTGCGGGCTCCTGAAAACAAGAAGCGAATCTCACAGATGAGCCACATTCGAGTATACAGATCAGGCATATACAAATTACATTGCTTCCATCTGTGGTAATTGTAATTGTGATTGTTAAGTACTTTGACAGCTTAACGCGAGGATTTAACATTACTAGCACCAATTTCACTCAGATCTCACTCTAACAACCTGCTTCGTCAAAATCCATCTTGGTATTATCCTCCCGTCTACTACTCGTTCTTCTATGTGACCACTTTCCGAGAGACTCCCAGTCCAAAATTCCACGGATTATTATATTTTATCTACAGCCCATCTTAGCCTTATAGATTTCACTATCCTAACCATATAAGGGGACCTGTGCAGAAAGCGACGAATATGGTAATTATTTATTTTATTTTTCTGTATCAACAGCCAAGTGGCCAGTAATAATTATTGTATTGCACAGTATTAGCAGAATCATTATAATGAGATCAGCATTACACTTAAGTTAGGACATAAATGTGTGCAAAATTATATTTGCAAAATCGAAAAGAAAGAGACTACCTGGAAAACCTGCGCTTACATGGAAGGATAATACTGAATGGGACTGTAAATTAAATGGAATGTGAAATATTCTTCTAGCTCATGAAGGGATCCGTATTTGGATTCATTTGAACACTGCAAGAGTCTTCTGCATTCACACGTTTTTATTTATTGACCAAGTAGGAGAGTATTTGGTTCTTCAGAAGGATTATTCCCTATGGAATTATTTCTTTATCAATAATGGGTGACAGATCGGAGCAGATTTAGCTATGAGGGAGTACAGTAACACTGACTTTGGAATAAGGGCTGACTGTTTTGTTTAAAAACTATATTGTAATTAGAAATGTACAGCAAGTTTCGAAAGGAAACACGCATTTCTACTTCGTAACTTTAACTTAATTTCTATTTTAACTTGCCGTCAGAGAGTCTTCATCTCCATTCACACCTCCGAAATTTGAACCAGGGACGCGATATTGGCTGGACGGCGTAGCACTTCCGAAGCGACTTGAACTGGGGGCTCCATATTGGTTAGATGTGGCAGGGCCTCCGAATCTGCTAGAAGCATCAGGCGCACCATATTGGTTAGAAGGCGCTCCGCCAAATCTGCTAGAAGCATCAGGTGCGCCATATTGGTTAGAAGGTGTGGGGCGTCCGAATCGACTTGAAGCATCAGGAGTGCCATATTGGTTTGAAGGTCCACTTACAATTCGGCTTGAAGCGCTAGAAGCGGAATTATGTTGACCATTTCCGAGCCGATTTGAAGCACTAGGAACTCCATATTGATTAGAAGGTTTTCTTCCAAATCGGGTTGAACCACCAGATACGCCAAACTGGTTAGTATTACCACTTCCAAACCTGCTTAAAGCTGTTGGAGTTCCTCCGAATGCTGCCGACGTCACAGATACCGAATCTTCGTCGTCGAACCGCGAGTCGTCGAGCTGGTTTGAGGGAGCAGATGGTTGGCCCGTAGATGCTGGCAAATACTGGCGGTCAGGGTAGCTTCCCTGATCCGCTGGAAGGTATTGCCGGCTCGGGGTCTGAGCTACGGTCGTAGTCCACACTACCATTGCAGTCGCAAGCAACACTATATCCTGAAATAGACAGTGTGCAATACCAGGGTTATACAGCATGTACCACGTAAAACTCAACCAATAAAACAATTACGTACTACGGCACAAAATTCAAATCAGAAACAAACCCGCTCTCTCCCAACCTCCCACTGGAGTCCAGGTCACCCGTGTTGATAGGCCGCTGCTCACGCCAGTTTGCGAACAGTCTGCAGGTTCGAAAATGGTATGTTGATGGGCAGAGCGTGTGTTTATTCTCGAACATTATTTCGAATCTAAATCGTTCGCTGCTGTTCGTGAAACATTTAGCAATGCATATCCTGACAAGTAAGGTAACAATACACCGACTGGTAACAGAATTTCGAGGCAGAAGAAGTTTCTATGTGTCGTCGAGAAGGTGATGGACATCTCATGTAAATCTGTTCTGTAAGTTCTTCGTAACCAATGACAACTAAAAACAACTCGCCTGTATTCTTATATTAACGCCACCAAAGCTTAAAAATACTTTTTTAGTTACGGATGATTTTTAAACGAAAAACCCTGAACTAAATGTGCAGGATTGAGGTAATCGTGTCTCTCAGTTAGCACGCTGAAAATTCTTAAAGGATTTACATTGAATGTCTTATTGCGTGACTAAGTTATTAGTTTTCTGACGAATTTAAGTGAATTTCAGTTTAATTTTTGTTCAAATTAGGCTATCGAATTAATCAATTAAACGATTTGTCCTTTAGAAATATTCATTTTGACATTAATTATTTTCACCAAGCGCAACTCATCAGAATTACTGGAAGTAAAATTATAGAAGCAGACAAAGATAAATTTATAAGGAAGTAGATATGGCGAAACCAGGCGTTCTTAAACCTGTTTCTTTTATACTATGACTGGAATAATTCGAATTTTCGAAATATTACGTTTTCGCGATGCGAAACATGATTTATAGAGCCTATATATTTGTGCATGTTTATTACTCTGTCCGTACCAAATTCCTTATAGTAGGTTATATTTTATATTATCATCAAATCTACCTCACGAACTTCTATAGCTTTATAGAATCTTTGGCGCGCGATCGCCTAATATATTGTGTATTTTAGCCATATGTAGGTAAAGACCTTGTGATGGTGTGATCTTCCGTATGGTAAGACCTACCACATTTGTAAGTGAAACTACAGAAGTTCTGTAATAGAGGATCACACAGGTCGAATCGTGCTCCAGCGCCGTGAGGGATTATGAGACCCGGATTCAGTACTTTTGTGTTCAGTATACATGTCAGGAGTGTTAATAGACAAATTTTTAAAATGTGTTGTAAATATCACTGTAAATAGAAGTTCAAGTGTGAAGACCCGTGGCATTGATGAGAATTACTTTTACCCATCTGCGAAATACTTAATAGAATGTTATATCTTAATACCGGGCGTTCAGTTTGATTACCTCATCTGTCTGTAGCAGAAACTAAGTATTTAAGATTTGACTCATGTAATCAAGATTATTATTTATGGCCATGCATTAACCGGTCTACCTTAATCTATCAAACACAAGACTAGGTCTGCCACCCACGGACGCTCTGCGGTAGACATTACATGTGCTGAGTTGTTGATTGCCTCACAAAGCCATCATTACAATGTATTGGCAAACTTTGTCTAAATAAATGTATTAGTCGGCCCGTCTTAATTCCCGTTTTTGTAACACATCACGTCTATATCGATTAGTAAGTGTCTCACCCAACGTTATTGTCAGCCATGCATGAAGAAGCATAATTGACTGCATTAGCCCGTTAATTGTCTAGGTTACAAGTCACGATTTCACCATACATCTCCATGACAGCTCTAGGCGATGAGAAGAAGCTCGGAATATATTTGGCATGCATTATTGAACGCTGGTTGTAATAGAATAAAACACCAAATACAGAAACGTAAAGCTGAATATCGCAGTACTTTGGTCTTGAAAAACGCCACGAAATAAAACACTATAACTTTTTGCACTGACAAGAATTTAATGGTTTCAATATACGTTTACGTGATTTAGATTGACTCATATGTTATTTAACAATGCTGTTTCAACTACAGAGTTTGTATGGTGAAAGAAATAATCCGGCAGTGGTGTGAAATTAACATTTACTTTCTATGGTAGTAATTTAACGTTATATCATAAAATTCCGTTTTTTAAAACTCCATTCGTTGTCTAGTGGCGAACAGAGGTCAGTAAATTTTGGTTGGTTTTTCTAGTCACAAGAAATTCTACTTGTCAGACATTTCCTCCGCAAAAGTAAATCATGAACAACTGTTGTCGACAAACAACTTATTACAACTGACCTGCAAAATGGAGAAATGATTCACTATTATCATAAGATCGCAGCATGTTATAAGTGTTGAAACGGTCGAAATGAAACAAAGTCAAAGATTGTTCATACAGTGATAACAGAAGAACAACAGCCAATTTGCATTGCCCTCTAAACATTCGCCACCTCCCGGGCTTCAAATACGTTAGTATAGAATTACCAAAAGCCCTTTTACCCACCGTAGTTATAAATTTATTTGTTAACATGTTTAAAGAAATCATAAAAGGCGGGAAAGGATATTATCGAAAAAGTTCAACGGTTTTTTTCACTCTCCGCCAATGATTTTACTCTCGTTACGGACAAGCAAAGGAATGCGTTAGTTGAACCCTGGTAACAAACAAGGTGGGTAATTATTGAGAGTTTGTGGAGTTGTTGATATATAAAGATTTGGAAGGAAGAAGTAGTTGTAGCTTTACAAGTAGAACTCTAGTTCATGAAGTCAGCTAGAAATTTAATTGTTGGAAAGTAAGGAAACTACTTTGTTTCATTTCAAGATATGTACACGTGGGCATTTCTGCCTTGCTCGAGGTGGAGATGAGTTAATTATGGAGTGAAAGAAGGAGACAAATATGGAAGAGAATTGCGAATATGGAACTTTCTGAAATAATTGCTGGTGTCTCCAGGCTAATATAAAAAGTTGTTTCAAAAGCAACCATATGCTCTCCACCCACGAAATTCTTCGACACAGCAAATACACGCCATTGAAATTAACGGTGTACGGTATCGAATTTTCGTTCGCTCAGCTGGTTTCCTGATTTATTTTCCGCATCTTCCTTTCATGCTGAGTTTATTAATTCTTCCAGTGGATTATAATTTAGAAAACAATGTATTTTGTATATATATTTCCGTGGTAACTAATAATTGTCATTCTTAAAAAGGAAAATATGCTTACTTTGGTTGTCAAGAGAATATAGGAAGAAGTTATTTTCATTAATAGCATCAAATTCAAAAACTGTGAACAGCTTAAATGGACATTTAGTTTACAACTATACTTTTCGCTCGTAGTGTGGGTAGGATTAATTTTGAATAAAATTTATGCTGTAAATGCGTAACTTATTGTAAGTCGATTTTAGTGCATTATTCCTGATTGATAAAAGAGGCACATGAAAACTTATGTTAGTGGGGTTATGAACTTATGTGTGGGCTCCGCAGAGGCCGCTCGGTCTGAGGCGTGGGCCATGTGCCGCTTGGTCGATGAGACCGTGGGTTCGAATCCCACGCAAGCCATGAATGTTTATCCGCGTTTTCTGTGTTGTGCTGTCCTGAGTACAGGTACAGGCCTTGCGACGGGCCGATCCCTCGTCCAAGGAGTCCTACCGAATGTCTATAGATCAAGCCAACGAAAAGTTGAGACCCGCAGTGCTCAGGCACTTGAAGAACGGGTCGTTATTATGATATGATGGTGATTATGATGAACTTATGTTTTATCTGTTCGCGCCTAATAGTTGAAATTACTTGCTAATTTGTATTTAAAGAAACTTTAACAAATGCAATGTGAACTGATATAACGCTACAGCCGTGATAATTAGGCACGTGTCTCCAAACTTTCATCAAAATCCGTTGAAGTATCTGCGGGTCAAAATATGAATGGCGAGTCATATACCTGTGAATTTATTTCTAGACAGACAGACAGACAGACAAACACATGGAAGTTGCTACACCGGAATAACGATTCTAGTTATGGATTTTAGTGAGCATGTTCCAGAATACCTTAGTGAGCTTAAGCTGGATATTGAAGAATGCATGTTGAAGGCAAGTCACTTCGTAAAAATCAAACTAAACTATACTTAACTCTGAGATTTACCTTAGTGACGGGTCAGAGATGATGCATTTAACTGTTGTATTAAGTCTCATATCTTAGGATGCTGTATCGACTACTGTAGTTACGCGACTTCAAATGACGTGTCCAGGTACTGATCATCAATACTGAATTGGGAGAGATGTGGGAGAAATAGTCGTGATCTATTTAAAATATTTAAATCTTTATTTGTCTGGAAAAGTTGAGCAAGACCATGATGAGATGGTGTCAGAATACCCTGTGACAGGCGTTCCATTTGAATTATTTATGCAATGCGCGTAAAACACGTTATCGCAAAAATAACAGGTTTTGTATTACTTTGTAGTGCTTACTTAAACCATTTACGTCTTTGCAGTATTAATGAAGTCAAAAGTCTGCAAATGACAAAGATAATCACTTAAGTACGAAAAGGTACAAGTAGAACATTATGGAACTTGTAGTGACGCCATGTAATGCAGTTTCTAGATGTAAGTAGAACCGTTGTACAGGTGTGTCAGAATTTAAAATAAAAATTAATTCATTCATAGTTTTGAAGTCTCATACAGCGCCTTCGTTTAATCTACCAGAAAGCTTACTCCACAAATTTTAAGGCTTTTATTTCTTAGAAGATGTTCGACGATGCGGACAAGTGTTTCTACTTTTCATTAGCAAATGGGACTTGCCACATTTCATTCTGTGTCCCTGCGGAAAACAGTCTTAAGGAATATCCACGTCTGAACAAGTCCCACACCTTCCTATTTTAGTCTGTAACTAAATTCATCGAGCAAAGTACTTCTTGAGAAGCTGATATTTTAGTCAGCTAGTCAAGATATTCCCCTCCTATCATGAGACTTGTGAAGGTTTATTACCTTGTTCACAATAACCCGCAGCCAGCCGAGTCCAATACATGCCCTCCAAAAGTATTCCCTTCATCAGTTTTAATATTATCCTACCATCCGTACCTAGGCCTTCTGAGTGACCTCATCTTTTCAGGATAGCCGACCAAAATTTCGTACGCATCTCCCATCTCCCCCACGAGCACTATATGCCTCTCCCATCTCATCATCCTTGATTTGATCTCCATAATAATATATGGCGAATCGTACAAATTGTGGAGCTCCTCATTATACAGATTTCACCCGCCTCCCGACATTTTAACTCTTTTAGGTCCTCCATATGTTCACCTTAGCACCCCGTTTTCTTACACCCTAAGTCCCTATTCTTCCCTTAGCGCGAGAAACCAAGTAATAGGTTTAGTTATAGTTTTGCGTTTATTAATCTGCACGTGTTTAGATAGAAGACGAGAAGACGAAGGTTATTGAGGTATATATTAATGAAAGTAATTTTACTGTTTATTAACCTTATGAAACAGAGCGTAACTGTATGTACTATCTGTTATAATAATCATTAATGCCTTATTTAATGTTATGAGTTTTGTACGAATCTCACTCTAGACAGGGATCATTGCCTTAAACAGCAGTTAAGCTTTGTAATGGTAGAATATAGTGTTTTCTTTACGGTACGGGACTCAATTCGAAAAATAAATTAAATAGGCTTGAGGTTTAAATTGTTAATTATAAATAATCACCAAATATTTGATTCATAGTTTATTCAGTTACGCTGTAATAACTATCTTCATCGTACAAAGAAATTCTAAAGAGGCTCTTCAACAGATAACAGGTACTTTATAGAACTAGTCGTACCAACAGTGTCCATTTTTAACCCTTTAAAATCGTCCAGTGGTAACTATACGTACCACCTACTTCATTAACCAGTAACTCTGTATTTTGCCCACATGATGTATTTATTTTTTTCATTTGTTTATCAGAGTAAGCAGCGATTATTTCTTTCAACAGCATCAAATAGTTGAACTTTGTAACAGTGAAGTACTGAGTTTTATTTGCAGTACGGACAGAATGAGACGAACTCGGGCTTCAAAGGGCGAAATAAAATAAAGTAAACTAAAAATGTAGAACAGTGTAGAACATGTGTGCCAGTTTCTTTCCGCCAGGCTTTCATTGATCCACTCTTTACAATCCACCGTGAGTTTGTTTTCCTTTCAGTTACAGAAAAGAGAAGTTTTCACGTACGTACCTTCCTCATTCTGGCGTGTGTAGTGTTCTTCAGGGATCGGTTTGGATGACTGAATAAAAAGTGGGATGCCTCGTGTATTTATATAGCTATCTGTTCATACAGCACGGTGCGTTGTACACATCACGACCAAGGGGCATAGTTGAGTAAAAAAGGAAGGGAACAAAAGTACTTTGGTGGTCTGAATTTCGTTCGACTTAATGACGTGATCTGTGCCGAAATGATGAGGCAGTGGGTCGCTTTCGGTTACATTGCAACATCAGAGCGTCTTAGACCCTCCAGCATTTAGCTACATGGTATTACGTAATCAAAGAACCATTAAATGTCGGCCAGCAGCCAGGCACTGCTAATGACGTCAGTTCTTCGGTGTGACACTGCCTCAGCTGTTGAGGTCAAATGTGGGTGAATCTATCCACTCGGTCTATTTAACAGCATATTGGTTATTCCTATAACATAGGAATATGTTTGTATACGGAGTGATTCAAAAGGTTAGGGCCAAACTAAAGGAGCGTATAGAGGTACTCAGAGAGAACAACTTTTGAATAGGAATCCATGTCCTCCGAAGTTATCCTGAGTCAGTCGCGGCCATTGAAGGTAGGGAATTCTGATAACATAACTGTTGTAAATTTGGTTTGTAAGATTGCTATTGTAATCCTCATATAGTAATAAAAAACAAAATTAAGCTAGTAGGAGAATAGCAAAGTTCGATTATTTCAGCGGTATGTTATCAGATTTCCCTACCTTCAATGGCCTCGACTGACTCAGGATAACTTCGGAGGACATGGATTCCTATTCAAAAGTTGTTCTCTCTGAGTACCTCTATACGCTCCTTCAGTTTGGCCCTAACCTTTTGAATCACTCTGTATAGTATCATATCAGTTTGTATGTTTCTATTCGTTAGTAACGTTTATATTTTTGGACTGGGTATGAACGTTTTGCCACTGGGGGTAAGCACGCCGCTGTGCTCTTAACCCTTTCTTACTGATTACAAAAATTGTTCCCAGTGCGAACTTAAATATATTTCCAGTTTAGGTGAAAATAAAGCCCCTTTTACAACGTGTTAATCTCACATGTGGTTGCTGTGAAATTAGCCTGTTAATTAAAAGCGACAGTAAATGTTTGAAAGTAGTTAACTTGTAATAAGTTTAAAGAGAAATTCACGAACATTGTTTTAAAAAAACAACATCCCGAGGAAGCTTGTCTTCTTGACACAAAACGTTCAGCCCCAAGCTGTTCTGTGTGTTTTATGCACTTTCAGAAATTGAAACGCTACATCTCTTGCACTTGTGAAGCCGTTAACCCACGAGCGTGGTGATTTAGTAAAATATATGGAATTTGTGACTATTTAAGGGGCTATTAGCTTCTGACAGAACACACTGTCTGACCCATGAAGTTAGTTTGATGTTCTATCAGTCGGAGGGTTTAGCACATTTTTTCTGTATTTCTTACAAGAGAAGCAAATACGTGGGTTCATTACACAAAGCAGCTGACATAACAGAAGAGTACTTATTTAACGGTTAAATGACCATAGATACGCTGTGTGAGCTCCAGATTGTTTCATCATCAGCTAGTCTGAATGGTTCCATTCTTTGCACCGAAGTTACGAGGTCTGGCATTTAAGGAAACTGACTGAGTACTAGTTGGTACATGCTAATGCGATATATTTATTATATAGTTTTGTGACTGCAGTTATGTGCTGTGTTGGATTACACATGACCATTGTTTCTTAAAAACGCAAAGGACATTAAATATTTCACCTAGATTTGTTAAAAATCGCAGTCTCTTCGAAAGAGTCGAGACTGTGTTGATAATTGAGTGTTCAAGTACGACCCACGAAAAGACGCCAAGGTCTTCAGTGGAATTGTCTGGTGTATAGAAGTAAAAAAGGGCGAACGTCAGAGTCAGATATTAAGCTCCAGACAAGCAAAGACGCTGGGCTGATGATATGAAGTAGGAAGGCGAGTACTTTAAAGGTTGCCACGCTGTCAAAATGATTAGTGACTATTTTTAGCTACAGATGGAGTCTGGTCCTTTTAATTGCCATATCCCGTACGTCGAAATGTCAAACACAATGAAAATCTAAGTACATTTAAAGCATAGATATTTTACGAGTTTCTTAAAAAAAACTGACTGCATATACAGGAGGTCATATCAATGGATCTGCATATTTCATCTTCGAAACTAATACAGTTTTACAGAAAATTAAATTGGAGTATACACTAAAAATTTCTGATAGTTTTTAATAATGGTACGTGTCGTTCTACACCAATATCGACCTTACTTAGAGCACATGTCAAATTGTGTCGACTTTCTCAAAAATGGCTTATTATACAAAAATAGTTTTGATATAAATATTCATCTTATTGGTATATTAAATTTTTCTACATGTTTAATATTTACATAAAACAAGTAAACAATTTTAACTCTTAAGTTGTCTAAGGTCTAATTGCCTTTGCCACAGCATTTAAATAAAGCTGTCACTTTGACATGATGACATGCAGACTGGAGGAGTACGTCTTCCTCTTCAACTATTAATAGTCCTGACGTTTAGAATACGTTGATTTTTACCTACTGGCCCTCTAGAGGCCTTCAGAGTTTTTTCTTTACTTTTTATTAAATGTTACTAACAAATATATTGCTTTGTTCTAAAATGGGCATTGCCTAGCAATAAATGTTTTAAATACATTCTCAGGTACTTTGGACGTATTGAAGGGAAGTCATAGCTTCTGTTGGCAGCAGTGATTTATATAACGTATACTGCTCACTGGACGTTATAGAACAGTTAAGTACATGGATACTGCATAAAACATTATTATAGTTGGGTGCACTTTACCACTTCGATTCGTATTTCCAAATGACGGTGTCTACGTGAGTGAATTACTTAACCATGCTATAAACAGTGGACTCCTTGCTAAGTGTCAGACTGGTTTCCATTGAGTGTTAGTCAATTAGGTGTTAGTAATAATGGATCCGTATTGTGTAATACTCGTATCAGAGATGCTACTAATATGATTATGCGGTTTACCTCCTTTATACATATAACTCAACACTCCCAAGCTTTGGAGGTCAGCGAGCATGGGATACGAGGTTTCTTTCTGCCAGATAGCAGATCTAAGTACAATGGTACTCATAGTTAACCGAGATTTTACAGTTGATCCAACTTCATCTTCAGAATCTGACCACCGGTAGAATGAGACGATTCCAAAATTGTAGCTCACAAGTTTCTGGACGTAAACAAAAGCCCTATTATATGGATCAGTACTATTTTATAGTTAATTTTCAGTAAAGATGATTGTCTTCTGTTATTATTGACAATTTGTAGGATTTGAACTTTCCACGGCGGTGAGTTTGAAGATGGCTGTCTTCTGGGTTGTTGCGCTGTGTAGTCTGGTAGAAGTTTATAGACGTTTTAGAGGTCCTTGCTAACTCTATTATCAGGGCGATCATAGCAAGAGCCTCTGAAACGTCGATAAATTTCTACCACACTACACGGCTCAACAACCCAGTACTATGAAAACTCTTATGCTGTATCGATGTAAACGAGCTATAGTATCTGTCTTTCACCCAGTGTGCTTTCTGTGATGTGCAACTAAAGATTTTACTGTTATTACTGCACAAATGGATCGAACTTTCTTATTTCTAATCGCTTATTTTCCCATTTCTTACTACACTTACAAATATTTCAGTACATACTCGTTTACAATGTTATCTAGTCTTGTATACACCCTGGAACTTCTTAAAAGTTTAATTCGGCCTCCTTGAATTTTACTGATAGATGTTCATTAATATAAGTCAATCAAGCGTTAGGAAAAGAAAAATCAACGAGGAGAACCGTCATAATAGCCGAACCGGAGACTTCTTGAAAACAACAGAATTTGGAACGTTGGGTCAGTATTGGTATAATATCCCTCAGTAATTGCAATTCGCTGTTTGAAGTTGCGTAATAAGATTGGAAGGGGCCCTCTGGTCTAGAAGAACTGAAAAAGAAAAATGTATAATATCTGATCCATGACACCACTAGAGGCATACATGCATTGCAGGTTGCGTCACCTCGGTGCACCAGTACCTGTTGAAGGAAGTTAAAACAACAATCATTGAGGTGGATATGAGAAGAAAGTGACAGATCTGGAACAGAAGAGACGTGCGAGGTGTGCCCTTGAGTTAAACATCTCAGATGAAAATAATTGAGTGATCAGTGCAACACTGAACCAAGCCGATCTTAACGTGGTACTCTGCGAAATCTAGCTTAGATCATGTTCTCAGTCTATGGTGTGTGAGAACGCTGCTTCGAGGGAAATATTTTGACCTAAGAAAGAAATGCAGAAACCTCCCGTCAGCAGCAGTCCTTTAGTGACGTGTTTAAAGTAGCCACAGTTTTATATTTGTGTCCAGTTTCACTAAATGCGGCATTTGGTTTTGCGTATCCGCGTTTGTCATTTTTGTACAGTGTTATCCAAGGCTGACACCAATGACCTCGGCCCACATTATCGCAATAGTCTGTTATAGCAGTGACCCTGGGTCGTGTGGTTTGTCCATTTACTAGGAAAACGCGACGGGTTAATTTACACATGTACTTCGCTAACGCTAGAGTAACATTAATAACACTAACGATTTCTTTATAATGTACACCGTTTTTTGTTGGAAGTAGATGTTAGTATTCTCTTAGTATGAGGACAGTTTGGGAAGCAGAAACTTCTGACTTGTTCCTGAGGTAAAGGCCAACAATAAAATGTCACGAATTTTTAAAAAGAAATTGTTCGTTTTTGTCTCAGTTGACCGAAAGAACACGGAAATGTATTATAATGAACGTCAGTTTTAAATTTACGAATTGAAAATGATCATTTCTGCCATTTTCTCATTACATGAGCCTGTCCAAATATTAATACAGGATCTATATTTTCATTAAGGTATCATAAAACATGTCTCGGAAATCTTTTAGTGGTTTTTACGGACCACGAGCCAAACGAGGATCGCTGATTGCACACCATTGCTTTAGATACGCCCACATAAACTTCATTCTTCTATGTTTATACATCTCATTGATTTTCCATGTTCCTGTCACCGTTTGTATAATCAGACATTATACTTGTCTAT